ATATATACAGGTGGAGCTGGGGAAGGTGGAGGGTTTCAGAGAAACTCTGAAAGCACGCTGCAGGAATCTCAAGTGAACGCTAGCCAGCCATTAGGGGTGGAACAGTTCTCTGTAAAAAAATCTAACTGTACGGTTCTCCACACACGGTTCGGAACGCACTAGGACCACGGTTCAACTTAAATCTGACAACGCATCTGTAATATGGTTTGTTATAAATAACGACACGTAAAACAAACTGGGTTCAAGCTAATTGTATGTTTTTGTTGATGGATGCGCATTCTGGCTTCCCAGTACATTACAACAACAGCGATGAGAGAGAGAGAGAAAGAAAAAAAAAAAAAAGCATGGACAAACCATTCACTCTTGTTTAATGCTGTATGCTGGAAATGGAATATGAGCAGTCATTTATTCCGTCATCGTGCTGATGGGGCACAGGTGAGACCCGAAAAGCACACGTTGATATCGGTGTTTAAATTAAACTCATTTAAGCTTTGCCAGTTTAAACATTTAAGAGCCAGAGGTTGTGAGCTCGTGCGCGCAGTGAGAAGATTTGTGTGCGCGCTCATCCAAAGCATGCAATCCCGCGCCTCAGAACGTGTGCATATATTAAGCTTTCTCTGAAGTATTGTGTTTGAATGGACAAATTCACACAAAAATTATGTCAAAATGCCCAGCTTGGTAAGTATCCTACAGCAGACATAGCCGGCTGAACGTACTGTATCAGTGCACTGGATCAATGCATTCTCTTAAAGTGACAGCACTTTCTCAATATTAATAATACACAGGGCTCGCAAAATTTCAAAATCGCTGGTAGCCCTTCGGGCAGACATTCTTCAGATTTTGGTAGCCCAAAATGAATTTAAGTAGCCCGAATAAAAAATAAAAAAGACATCGCCTGAACTTCACTATGGACAAATAAGCATGATTAAAAACGTCAGTGATTGCTTTTTTTTTCTTCAAATAAGTCAAGAGAGTACGGGTGCAACGGATCACAAAACCCACGGCTCGGATCATATTGCATTATCATATCAGATTGAGTAACAGATCGGATCATTTTGCAGATGAGCAAAAAAAAAATATGGTTCTTTATTATTTAAATAACAGAATACTTCTTTGATACCACAGCAAAAACTAGTAGCATATAGGGATGTAACGATTCATTCAACTCACGATGCGATGCGATACAATTCACGATACTGATTTCACAATACAATTTTCTCACAATTTTTCTTTTTAACAAAATGAGATTTAAGACAAATTATAAATGAAAAGGTGTCCTTTTATTATTTCCCCAACAAAATGCTGCACATTTTTTTGTGAAATTTAAATAAGTCAAATAATAAAACTAACTTGAAATTTTTAAACAAATTCCAAATCAAATAATTCAATAATACAAATAAAAAAAATCTCTTTATATAAACAAAGGCTTTGGCTGTGCTTTTTCCATTTAAAATCAGAGGCAACCACTGCATTTTAATCATGATCCAAACAAAGATGCTAAATACATGTTATTTAGATTGCAATGAGATTGTATAATTTCGAAATTTGAAGCAAAAACAGAATCGTCTGGTTTTAGCTTTGTGAATGAGATGCAAATGTCACTCTCTGACAGCAGGTGGCGCTTATGAAACAGCAGGTATTTATAGGCTGCTGCCCCTTTAAGACCGAATGCACGGATCCAATATAATGATGCACTTGAGATTTCTTTCACCACTGTTTACATTCACTTAAGACATAACTGACTGTGTTTACGAGAATACTTGCCGAGACAGTGATTTTGAGATAATTTTGTGTGTATGTGTTCATTCAGATGCAAGGATATGTGAAAGAGGAATCAATTCTGTGTACGCGCATTGTCTGAAACGCGGCTCTCTGTGCGCATTTTGAATGAGTGTGCAGCTCCGAATGCGCGTGAATGGTTTAAAACACTTGAATGTTTAAATCGGCAAGACTTAAAAACACGTGCAAACGATCAACTATGATCCGTTTTACCCCTACATGCTAGTGAACAACGCAAATCAAGGAATTAATTTTATATGTTCTAGATAGCCCGTCGGGCAGGGCGGTGATGCATTTTGGTAGCCCGAATGGAAAACACAATAGCCCCGGGATGTCGGGCTAGCGATTTTGCGAGCCCTGATACAGAAACAAGGAAATGACTCACTGCTCGATCGAATAGCTTTTGTAACTTTAATAAAGATTCATCTTTCATTTATACAGTAAAATACACAATGCTATTTTACATTTGATTACTTTATTCAATTTCTGTACCTAAAAACTAATGTTAGACCTACCTAAAAAACCTGAAAATCACTGTTTATTTTATATGTATCTTTACTCTATTGTATTTATTTGTGTTGCTGCTTGTAGTTAGATAGATTATTCTTATTTTCTTTATTTTTATTTGACAGTATAGTTTTTCCCTAAATATAGCATACGAACCGTACCGAAACCGTGACTCTAAAACCGTGATACAAACCGAACCGTGAGTAAGTTGAACCGTTCAAACCCTACCAGCCATATAAATGCAAGGCAGTAAGCTCATTGGCTGCATATGCAGCATGAAACAATCAGCTTGTGCCAAGTCGTTTAACTCCCTGAATATCATCAGTTAGGTTAGCAACCCGTCAGCCTGCGCCATCTAGAGTTTCATGACTGAACTATATATATTTGGAAAGCCATATTATCATTTTGATTGCAATATTTTTGTACTACATGGTATTTATACTGTGTGCAGTATGTTTTTTTTAATGTATGATCTACCACAGTGGTTCTCCAACCTGTCCTGGAGTACCCCCAGCCCTGCACATTTTGTATGTCTCCCTCATCTATCACACCTGATTCAGCTCATCAGCTCATTAGTGGAGACTGCAAGACCTGAAGTGGGTGTGTCAGATATAGGGAGACGTACAAAATGTGCAGTGCTGGGGGTACTTCATGGAGAGGTTTGAGAACCACCGATCTACCACATATGCTTTTATATAGCCATTAGACGCCTACAGTACAACCATTGTCCATGAACAAATTACTCTTCTGAGCCTATCTTTTAAGGGAATCAGAAACATACAATGCAACCAGTGTATTGGTAGTTCAGTTACCAAACAAATGAATCTTTCGAGCTGGTTCTTTTTAGTAAATCAGAAACTTACAGTGGCTACATTTACATGCAACCAAATAATCCGTTTGTAATCGAATTGAAGGCTCAATCGGACCGAAAAGCCTTCATGTAAACACCTTAATTGATCCGATTGAGCTCGATCGGAATGAAATTTCGATCTAAATAAATTCCGGTTTGAAGCTTGTGACATATAAACGCGCACATCAACCCGATCACTTTATTTAGCGTTCATGTAAACACTACATTCAGATTCATCAATCGGAATGAATTCAGTCCGATTGAACCAAAAATTGTGCATGTAAACGTAGCCAGTGAAACCATAGCCAGTTTTTTTAAGCTCAGAAGTTCAAATCAGTGTAATGAATCCCTCACTGAATCACTAAATCAGTCAGAGGTTACTGATTCAACATCTGACTCACTGAACTATAAGTTGCCATTGTTTCAACTAATGTCCATTTTAAAATGAAGTTTTGTAAAACTTAAATCTGTATCATTACTGAGTGATATCCTTCACTGCAAAAAACGATTTCTGTAGGACATACAGAGCTGTATCCCACAATGCAATGCACTTTACATTTGCATTTTGATGAATGATCTGGGTCAAAAATTCATGATTTTTAATCATTTTAACTCTGTTTGATAACCGGACACTGCTTGTTTAAACATGCAATGTAACGAGGTCATATGACAACATGCTTTCATAATACTTCTTGTTTGTTTTTGGTGTGGTTTCATCCCAGTTGAAGAACGCTGGAAGGAAGTTGGGGCGGCGATGTGATATGTGCTCTAATTATGAAAAACAGCTGCAGGTCATTCAGGGACAAGAGGCCGAGACACGAGATCAGGTTTGTTTTTTATGCTATTAATATCACGTACAAGGCCCATAATGAAATGATTCAAAAGTACAGTCTGTAGTAATTGTTACAATGTGAACTTCCTTTGCCTTTAGGTTAAAAAGCTTCAGGCCATGTTGCGGCAGGCGAACGATCAGCTGGAGCGGATGATGAATGAGAGACAGGAGTTAGAGGACTCTGTCAAACAGGCCAATGAGGAAACTACTGCCAAGGTAAAGCTCATCTCTCTGATAGATTTGGTGAAAAACAAATCTGTTGACAGGTTAAACCTGGATGGGTTCACATGCTAATTGGAGCAACATATATAGTGAGGAAACTGCAGTAATGTTACATCTTTTTAATATTTCCTCATATCGGCAAGATAACAGTTATGTGTTAAGCCCTAAGGCTGCATACTAACCAAAATGGAATATCATAAGCCACAAAACTTTTTTTATTTTTGGGTCATACTTTATTTTAAAGGGGTCATATGATGCGATTTCAATTTTTCCTTTCTCTTTGGAGTGTTACAAGCTCTTGGTGCATAAAGAAGATCTGTAAAGTTGCAAAGACTAAAGTCTCTCTCTCTGTGTGGAACTGATATTCATTCTTTCACAATCTACTAGATACAGACTACTTCATTATAAAGAAAAATTAAATAAACAATAAATCTGAAAAAATATAGGCCTATGTATATTTATAATGTATGACAAAAATGTATCATAAACTAGGTTAGTGGAGCAGCTATTTTATTATTATTATTATTATAATAGGTATTCTAGAAAAATCAGTGCACAATAATTTTAGAAATCCAAACATTTAGTGAAAAAACTATATTTTGGGGGGAACA